CAAATATTTTGAAATACAAATGATATATTATTCTTAAATGATGTGGGTTCCTAGCGGTTGAGTGGTTAGTGCATTATGCTTCCACGCCATAGGTCGGTGGTTCCAACCCTGGACTAGGCAAGGCTGACTCAGCCTTTCATCCCTTCAGTGGGTCGATAAAATGAGTACCAAGCTTGCTTGGGAACTTAACAATGGGGGTTTCGCGTCAGACTGACCACCTGACTCGAACATCTGCACATGCACCTCAGGGCCCAAGGTCCCGAATACTGAGTAAGGCACAGTAGGCCTTTGCACTCGCTGACTGTTGCGCCACTGAGTTAAGTTTAACTGATGTGGGGTTAGAATAATATGATACATTTTATAATTCTGTAAAGTTTTTTTTACATCAAAGGCTACTATTTTAGAAAATAGCGTGCACAACGCAAAAATTACTGAATATTTATTACAAAATTATTTTTTTTTCATTCGCTTATAATTTTTAAAATTATGATTATATTTTAAACATTTTATACTTTTTTGAAACCATAATCATTTGTAAATAATGTGTACAAGATTCGAATTATTTAACTTAAATTTTAAAAAAAAATTATAGCTGTTGAAAATTGTTTATATTTTCACCCCTCGAGACAAAATTAACACCCCTGAGACCCCACCTCTTAGCCCTTTCCGGCACAAAATTTTGCTTCACTTCTCATCAACATGATATTAATATGTAAATCAAAAATTATTATTTATGGTAAATATTCTTAAATACATAGATAATAATATACATATTTCACATTCTATTATTATAAAAATGTTTAAAAGACTCGTTGAAAGGTAGTTTGGAGTACGTAACCCTGTTGGTTTTTTCGCCCACCAGGGTCCCCCGTTTTGTTTTCAAATTACTCCTAATATATATAAATATAGTGCCTGAAGTGCTTTAGTGCCTGGATTTAGATTCACTCTTCAGAAAAACGTGCTTAAAGAAGTTACTTCAAAAAGAAATATACTTTGGCGATGTCATTCAATGGATATGTAATTATCTACCTGTTTCATCAAAAAAACATTTATCAAGGAACATGATATCAAAAAACAAAATGGCCACAATTGCATAGCACTCATGTCGTAAGCTAGTCGGTCGGAAAGTGGGCCTGCTTTGCCGAGTCATGGACTCGAGTCAGGCCAAGTGTCATCATCATCAGTCTACCATGGTTTGAAAGTATAAGGTATGTTAACAGTAGCTCTCGCGTTGCTTTAGAGTCTGGCGAAAATTAAAATGAAATCGGATCAAGCACATAAATTCTTTTCTTAACGTCTTCAAAATTATTTATCCTCTTGTTTAGTAGCGTAGTCGCTAAAACGAAAAATTAGATGTTGGCGAAATTTTCGACACACCAAAAATTTTAAATGTCAGTAAAATTTCTGTCTGGATAACATAATAGTATATATGTATATATATATATATATATATTTAATTTGACATTTGTTACAAGTTTGAATTGAGATATTATGAATATACTAGCTGGTATACCCGTTCTTCGTAAGGGTGAATTGAAAAATTAAACAATACGAAGGATAAATAAGTTTTTAATGAGTTAATTTAAATTGTAAGGAAAATTAAAGAAAACAAAGTATTTTGAAGATCTCAGCTGAACAAAAAAAGAAAATCATATTTTGTAAATTTTAAGTCTGTAGGCTTAATAGCTGATAAAAAGGATTTTTTTTATTTATAACGGCCCTGTACCTTCCTGGGGGTCGTTTTCGAAAACACCTCCCAAAGCTGATCTCTGCTCAGCAAAAGTAATACACTGTTACAAATATTGTGTAATGAATGCTTAAACTAATTTACATCTGGATGTGTAATACGTTAATATTACTTTCTGTTGTATGTTTTTTTACTTTAAAATTGTAATATTCGCAAGCAACGTCTTTCCTTGCAATATAATGGCGAATTAATGGAAACATAGCGAAATGTTGGAGAAAGAGACCAATTGGAATCATTTTTGATGACCCTGTTGACAACTTGGTGATTGATTGATCGGTATAGAAGGTGATACGCTGTAGCGCCACCTGGTGGGGAGCTGCAACAAAGAGGATAGCAAGAAAAACAAAAAACACTTTTCACAAAAAATACATTGTTACATGCCAATTTTCATAGTGATCGGTTGAACGGTGTTGGAGTGAAGCACAAGGCCATGTATACAAACATACATTTATATATATATATAAAGATAAGCACGCACTTATTTTTAATTTTCTAGATATCTCACACATACTTGATTCCCTATTCAATTTTTATAAATCATCATGTGCGTAATTAATCAAGAATTATTTAATTTAGGTGTCTTGATGGTTTTTTCTGCTCATGAACCCTAAAAAACTTCTCTTATTTGATTGATCATCATATGGTCTCTTCAACTAAGCAAACTTAAAGGAAAAATAATTTAAGAATTTTACTTTCCACTGATTGTGGCTGACTACCTAGAATTAAATCAATGATAAAGGAGCTTTTTTATTTGAATATAAATATCCCACTTCTCTTTCTTCAAAAAAGATTTGAAAATATTTTGTCATTGTATAAAAAGTAGTATAAAAGGACATAACAAACTTAATTTATAAGTTTGTACTGTGTGTCTGGCTATATCTTCATACTTTTATGTCTTTTATAATGCTAATAGATTCAAATGCTTTCGGTAAAACACATGTTTCGCATTACGTGAACATATGTTCGTAAATGCGATTATTACGATAAATGCTTCAGGCGAAACATCTGGCATCCGTCGAGTGAAAATAAAATGTGAAATAAACTATTTAAAGATTCCAAAATCGATTTGCTTTCTTCGTGGTTTAAGCCATCAGTTGTTTTTATAACAAGCTACTAATATAGTTTAACGCCAGTTTAAGATTTAAAAAAAATTAGCTGATGTTGCCCAATGTGCTTCAGCTGCCCCCCTCCCCTCCACCCAGATTCGATATAAGATTTAAGGAAAAAATACTACAACATTTAAAAAAGAACGCAATTAATATAAATTTAATTTTTAATGCATTATTATTTTGCGTTTATTGCATTCAGCAATGCAAA